AAGGCTTTTCATGACAGTGAGACACATCTGCTCCTGGTGGTACCAATTTACTCCAAAAAAGGATGATGGGCATCAAAGAGCCTCCACATGGAGTTTGCTTTCATTGTGGCAAGGTTAGCACCACTGGGCAAGAAACCACCCTTGCCTCGACTGCTGACAGTATTCTGTCCAAACTGGACCAGCAAGACACACACAAAAAAAGTGACTACCATACTTTGCCAAGACAAGGACAGTCCTTCAGAATTCCTGCTTCACAGAAAAGTTTGTCATATATTCTAGGCCTGTAGGCCAAAGATAGATGCCCCAACATTGGAGAGAAACCTTGGGTGACTGTCCAGGCAGCCAGATGTCTCTGTCATTTCTATAATTTTGGATTTGTTTGCTCTGCACTCACTTCCTGTTTACTCAGGTAATATTATTTCCTTCTTGGGTCTCTGATGGAGTTGAAGACTAGATAGTTACAGTTACAGTTTTCCTTGTTACCAAATTTAGAAAAGAAACTCTCAAAAGAGGTGTAAAGTGTATAAGATTGAGAGACACTTAAGTTGTTTATCTAAGAAAATATTTTGAGGTCTAAAAAGATAGTTTTGGGTCAGTAATACAAGTTAGGATAAAAAGTAAATTAGGTACAAAACTTTGAACTCACCAAGATAGGATAGAAAATGGAGTATTTTCTAGGAATTTGTCAAATGCAAATAGACTTGATATTGTGAATGTAAATCTTACATAATTGTTCTTACTGTACATAGTTTTACTTTGTTAAGTTTAAAAACTTCCCCCTTCATTTAGACAATACATGATAATTGTTCTTATTGTATATAGTATTACTGTTCAGAAAGAAACATATATAGCGATAGACATAGAATCTTTTTATTTACATATATGAAACTATATATATATATATATATATATATATGTATACCATATACATATATGGTAAGATGATTTCATACACAATGGGCAAATGTTGGCTGGGAATGTAGCTCAGTTGACAGAGTGCTCGCCTCAATACAGAAAGCCTTGGATTTGATCCCCAGAATCCTATGAAGCTGAATATGGTGGTATGCAATTGTGTTTCTAGCACTTGGGAGATCCAGGCAAGGAGGATCAGAAGTTGTACTCCAAGCCAAAGAATGCTGGGGGTATAATGTCACAACGAAGATTCTCGGACATGGAAACACCCTGAAGATACACTGCCCTTCCTAAAACACACTCAAGGAAATACCTGAACCAAGGAGAAGGGCTCAGTAGACAAGGAACAGGGATAAGCTGAGCTTACATGGCTGCCAATGTCACCCTGGGTCAGTTCTTCCCTCACAGCCCTGAGGACTGAACACAGGGACTTGAGCATGCTAGGCAAGCGCTTTATCACTGACCTATATTCCAAGTTCATCATGAGGTTTAATCACATTAAAACAAAGAGAATCAGAGAGACAAGTGCTTGCCTTGCAAAATCTACTATGGACTCTTTTTTTTCTTTTCCTCCCACTTTTAACATTTCATGATTTCCCCCCAATCGTTTGCACTCTCCCCCAGAGAATTCCTTTAAGTTCAACTACTGATCCATGAATATTTTCAGCAATATTAATCTAATAAGTGTGGTGGGAGCCGGGCGGTGGTGGCGCACGCCTTTAATCCCAGCACTTGGGAGGCAGAGCCAGAAGGATCTCTGTGAGTTCGAGGCCAGCCTGGGCTCCCAAGTGAGTTCCAGGAAAGGCGCAAAGCTCCACAGAGAAAGCCTGTCTCGAAAAACCAAAAAAAAAAAAAAAAAAAGTGTGGCGGGCCACAAGAATATATTATAGAGATTCAGCTGTGTATTAAAGCTATACTTTGACCGGCAAAGGGTCTGTCAAAAGGCACGCCATTTATTATGAATATCTGGTGTTATCCAGCTCTTAATATTCCAGCTGTCTTCTGTTATGAAATTCTTGCATGCCCCAATACTCCTAGAACAATTGGCAAACAGTTCAGCTCCTCAGACCTGCTGAACTTGTAGGTAACTGACTTCCCTGCTGGAGCCAGTACTTGGCAAAGACAAGCTGGCAAGAGACACATAGCTTTGTTTCTTGTACAAATGAAGCTCAGACCATCTCCTCACCTCCAGAGCAACTGACAGAACAAGAGAGGTTTCCACATATCAAGGTGGAAGGTAGAGCAACCTTCCTGAGGAGGCAGAGAACCACCTGGCCAGGGAAAGAAAGACAGGCATTTTCTGTACAGCAGACAGAACAGCGCAACCAGGGAGAAGAGAAGAACACAGAGGTAATATAGACGGTAAGGCAGAACTCTTGAGCCAGGAGTAGAGAGTAGTAGAGATGGAGAATGAAGAAAAGGAGGACGAAGATGAGGCTGAGCATAAGAGCTTAGTCATTAGCAGGACTATGAGAGGGAACCGGACGGAATTGAAGCTATGGATTTCACCCCAGAGAAATAAAGTACACGGATAAGGAGCTTGGTGCATCTAGAGTCATTCCTGCCCTGAATGCCTGACAGAGCTGTAGCTGTGTAGATAAAGTTTTGTCTTAGAGGAATAATGTTAATAGACATAAGAGCATAGTGTACGCAGATTTTTTCTCTCTCAGATATCCCATGCTGGAAATCCCCGGACCTTGGGTAACCCATAAATAAGTATTAACTTGCAAAGTCTAACTGTGGTAATCATTTTTGTTAATTCTTCCAAGGAATCTTTCTTGTTTTGAGATTGCTTCTTTGCTAAGCAAACTACAGCTGTTTAATTAATGGACTTTGCCCTGAATTTCAATGACAGCATGAAGTAAAAAACATATTCTGCCCTTTTTTATTAACTTTTGGCAGAAGTCTCTGCTTTGAACCTCCTGGTTTTCTTCACAATGTCTGATTAGGTTTCATTTTCAACTTATAATCTAAACATACGTCTAGATTGGCATCATGTGAGTTCCCGCAACAACAGAAATGCTCTATTGTCTCCTGGGCTGCCAGCCTCAGGGGGTTGGCAAGTATTAGAAATGGACTAGTGCAACTGCTGGGCCAACTTTCCAATTTCGTTTAATTAATTTAAACCAAGATGTGAAAAGCCACATGTGGCAGATGGTTGCTATACTGTACAGTCTAGTTCCAGATCCTTCTGTATTCATGACTCAGATGGGCTCTTCCAGCACACATGTGGTCACCACTGTGTTCCTCAACGAGACCCTTCCTTATCCTAGTCCTACTAAGCTCTGAGGAGGGTAGAAAAGATGGCTGTCAGGGGAGACAGCTCCTAGTACCGCAGGATATGGCCAGTAGGTGGCAGCTTTCCTTCAGCATGCCTTGCTGGCCTCTCCAATCCCCTACACTGCCCTACCCAGACAGACACCCAGACACAAAAGTGGGGTGGGGATAGGGGGTGTATGCCGGAGAGTGGTAATCAGCACTAAGCAGCACAAAGGACAACTCTTCCCTACATCCTTTTTCCGGTACTAGATTCAAGAAAAGAGATCCCTTCAGAACGGGACACCATTGCTCCTAATGGTGGCTGGATTGCCTCAGCAAGAAAAGAAGTGACAGAGGGAAGGTACAAATAGAGATGCTCCTTCCTTACTGGGGTACCACTTTGACGATGAGATACACCAGCATTTAAAAACAGCTTAAATCAACCAGCATCCCCATAGGACAGGCAGACGAAGACAGAAAGGCCATGTGGCTACAGCGGTAGAGACTGGAATGACGAAGCTACAAGCTAAGGGAGGCTGAGGGCTGCCAGGAAACACTGGAAGCCAGGAAAAGGCAAGGAAGGCGTCTTCCCTAGGGACTTCTGAGGAGGCGGGATGCTTTGACTTCAGACTTCCAGCCTGCAGAACTCTAAGGGAATCTATGTGTTTGAGCTGCTTGGTTTGTGGTGTCTTACTACTGTGAGAGCAGTCCTGGGAACTTACAGGCTTGCTCCCTAAAACAGAAATGGGAGCATCAGCTGGTCTCACACATAGGGAAAGTGCCACACATTTTTGGCCAGCTGAATTCATATTCTGATCTTGTTTGATGTAGAGCATATTTTGCAAGAGTACATTTAACAGTATGCTAGCTTGGGATAATAATTACGAGTTACAACGACTTATTAAAAAATTGGTGTGCGTGTGTGAGAGTATGTGGTGTGGGGTGGGGACTAAAGGGAGAAGGGGGAAGCTCCATTTAGTGGACCGTGATGTCCAACCAAGAACCAGCCAACCTAGCTCAACATGATACAGCAGAATCCCTCAGCCACAGAAGGCAAAACTTACCACCTGGTTTCTATCTTACTCTTGTACATTATCTTCAGTCCTCTGCTGAGAAACCATCTTTATCTGCTAGTGAGAACATGAGCCAATAGCTTCCCACTTTTATCTTGTACAGGGCTTACCCCTAGGGAGACGAATTCTGTTCTCTGGGTCCCAGACTCTGACGGCCTGAGTTTCATCCGCTGTCCTCTTTTGAGCTACCTGATACAGCCCTGTGCTGGGTAACTTCTACAGAAAAAGATGCAACGTCACACAAGGAGCAACTCTTCTTCAATAAAGATGTGATTTCACCTTTTCTTTTTCTTTTTGCTTCACTTTTTTTTTACATTATTGATTAAAATGCTAAAATAAAGTCATCAATAGGTGATAGAGAAATAATTCTAAAGGTGAATACAAATATGATTTGAAGATAAAGCAATCACAGGTCTAAGTATGATAAATATAACACATTAATAAAGAACTTTAATGAAGACCCAAGAAGTGTAATCCTGAATGCCTTATATATGTAACTATAAATCAAAACAATTTTCACAATTAAAATCCAATGAAAAACTGTTTTCTCTAAAATAATAATATAAGAGAGTAAGAACTACCTTTAATTTGAAGATTTAAGGAAATTTTTTTCTCTTGGTAGTAAAGGATACACATTTCTCCACCAGTACACACTGTATTGCCTATTGGGGACAGGGCACTAAAAGACCATGGAATTCTTTTCAGAGATAATTAACCTCGACAGGCAGCTTGCAGTTTACAGGAATGATCACGTACCTTGGTAGGAGAGTCTCTCTCGGCTCGAGAACGTTCCAAAGCATGGATTTTGCTGGCACTCATCTCGTCAGACTCAGCAATGACATAATGCCTAGGTGAGTAAGCATGGGACAAGCTTCCAACCAGCCTCAAGATCTCCGTGGTGTGACCACCTGGAAACAAATACAATGCGGCCTCAGAGGAAGAAACAGCGTGGGGAGGGGACATCGGAGAGGCAGCTGAGTGGTCAGGAGTACTTGCTGCTCTTGTGTCCATGTCCATCCTGCAGTTCCAGGGGACCAGACACCCTCTTCTGCCCTCCATTGGCACCAGGCATGCACACAGTACACATACACACACAAGCAAGCCACGCATACTTATAAAATAAATCTAAGGGAAAAAAGGGAGAAGAAACACAGTGTGGGCTGAAGAGATGGCTCAGTGCTTAAGAGCGTGAACTTCTCTTGTAGAGGACCCAGGTTCAGTCCTGAGCACCCACGTTGGGAAACTCCAGCTTCAAGGATTCTGATGCTTCCATGGTCACCTGTAAACATATGCACATACTCCTCACATAGACACACACATACACAAAATTAAAAACAAGATCTTAATTTAAAGAAGTAACCTGCTATGGACACATGGAAACATATCACCACATTATACCAGTGTCGTGTTTTTCAGAGGTGGGGCACTAATGTAACTGCATATTTCCCAAAAGACATGTGAATATGAACATAGAAATACAAATTATGCCCTTGTATAAGTACTACTTTTATACAGAAGATAATAAATGCATTTTAAAAATTGATACTATCATTTTAAAAAAAAAAACAAGGAAGGTACATGGAAGTATAAGACACAAGAAAGTGGGGGGGCAAGATATACATATAAAGAGAATGCAAGGCGGGGGGCAGGGGGGGGGAGCCACTAAAATGGGATGACAAAGGGTTACGGGAAAAAAGCAGCACCCTCAAACCAAGCACGGCCTTGGAAAAAAGCTAAGGAGACTGGAAATGTGAGAACAACAGATGGGCAGGAACAGGAGGCCTCTGGGCAGAGGCAGGATCCTCAGAGCATGGCAATAAGATCTGAGCTGCTTTCATGGGGCAACAAGAATGCTGGGAGCAAGGGTAAAGGTGGAGTCAGGTCAGGCAAGCCGGAGGAAGACCAGACAAGGAGGGTTCTGTGTGGAGAAGTGACTTAAGGCGCTGACATCAGGGCGTAAGCTCCCTGGAGGAACACTGCTGGCCACTCCAACCTCAGGTCTCAGCGCACTGAGGTCTTCAACTGGTAACCAGTTCCACCAAAGAAGTCTATATTCAGCTTCTTAAATTATGCTATATAAAAAATGTTAACACTTTATTCACAAAATTGCAACTTTAAAAGTCAGTTCCAGCACGGGCTGGAGAGGTTGTTCAGCAGTTAAGAGCTCTCCCTGTTCTGGCGGAGGGCTGGAGTCCAGCTCCCAGTAACCGCACGGAGTGACTCACACCCGCCTATAACTCCGGCTCCAGGAGACATGACACCTTCTAACCTCCCAAGCCACCCTCCACATACACACATACACATTAATTAAAACAGAAGGCTTTCATTAAAAATCAATTACAGGCATCCCCTCAGTACCTGTGGGGCACAGGATTCTGGGTCCCCCACAGAACCCCAATTCTCCATGTGCTCAAGTTCTTTACAAATAAACTGTGTCATTTTTTACATATCAACTACACACTTCCTCCTATACATTTTAAATCATTCCTCAATTACTTAGTTAACACAATGTAAATGCTAGCTAAGTAGTATATTGTATTTTTTAAAGGAATAGTGAAAAGTTTGTAGGTGTTCATTAGGAATGCATTCTTTTTCCAGTATTTTGGATCTGAAGATGCAAAACACACGGAGAGGGAAGGAGAGCCAAGCGCATGTCCCTCTAGTTTCTGTCAGGAGAACTGTCACAATTACTACAGAAGACCAGACGCCACACACCACTGAAGCTCTGCAATCAAATCCCTTATCAGCCGTTCTACTTCACAAGGCCTGTGGTGGGGCCAGGCTAATCCCTCTAGCATTCGCTACACTCACTTTACTCATTTCACCCCCCTTGCCTTTGGTCAGGCTGTGTCTCTTACCTAGAAGCTCCTTCATCCCCATTCCCTTGGTTGTCCTGAAAATGAGTTTCTAGTCAGACATGAACACACAGAAAGATAAGCACACAGAACACCTGTTTCCCCTCACCGGGTCTTTTCATAGGAGAAAGCCCGTTCTTCCGGGTTCTAGAATGAATCAGAAAGGAATGTGGCGTCACTGTGCGTGCACTTCAGGAACTAGAGGCACAGGTCCACTTTGTCGCTAGCCGCGCGTCTTCCTCCCTGGGGCACGTGATTGACACGTCTGCTTTCAACTTTAGTGTTTTCATTTGGGGCCTTGAAAAAGTGTTGCAGTTTGCCAAGTAGTTTTTTGTTTTTGTTTTTGTTTTTTTTTCCCTCACAGATAAAGTCTAATATCCACAATGAAATAGGAGCTTTATAAGACTTTCTGGAATACTCTCCCTTCTGTTGTTTAAAGGAAACACTCACTGAAAATTTAACCTGGTTACTAAGTGCAGTCACTAAAATCATTGACCCTGTTACTAAATAAAGTCATTAAGATGACCGACTCTGCTACTAAGGGTCTATTTCACTCTTTGATTATATTAGGGGAGGGGGCCAAAAAGATGGCTCAGTGGTTAAGAGTACTTACTGCTCTTCCAGAAGGCACCAGTTTCATTTCCAGCACCCATATTAGGCAGCTCAAAACCACATGTAACTCCAGCTCCAGGGGGATCTGGTAACCTCTTCTGTCCTCTGCAGGCATGTATACACACACACACACACACACACAAACACATACACAGACATAAGTAAAAATAAATAAAAAATAGGGGGGATAAAATCCTTTTAGCAGATGGGCATACACACAAACATGCAACTATATATGCATAAATAAAAGTTAATCTTTAAAAAAGAGACATTGGTGAACAATAGGAACTGGTAATATACTATAATATACTATTAGCTATACCTTAACACACACCTAGCATCCAATCACTTCTTTACTTTCTAAGATTTATCTAATGTGTATGAAGGTTTTGTTTGCACGCACATCTGTGCACCATTTGACTACCTGGTGACCATGGGAGTCAGAAGAGCACGTAGGATCCTCTGGGCTCTGCACAGCTCCTGGGATTGACCTAACTGGGTGGTGAGGGGATGAAGAAAGGACAGACATGCAGACACACATACAGAAAAGCTGGAACTGGGTGGTCTGGGCACTCTGAAGAAGGAGCTGCAGGACCCTAGAAGCTCATAGAGTTTACTATATACAGTTGAACAGGAAAGAAGGGTTATTACATAGTGATATACAAGGAGACAGGGTTATTATATACAGCTGGACAAGGAGGCAAGATTAGCTCTGTAGGAGCAGTCTCTATAGGGGAGCAGTTTTCAGGCTGTAAACATTGGGGTGGGGGGAGCTTTAGTGGATATTTTCTGAATACTCTATCAACATTCTCACTGGGACCAGAGAAAGGCTTTGTAATCCCTTTGCACCTCAGCTAGGCTTGGCCACTACCATGGGGTTGAGACATTGAGGTCCCTGATATATGTCTTAGTTAAGGTTTTATTACTGTGAAGAGATACCATGACCACAACAACCCATAAAGGAAAACATTTAATTGGGGCTAACGTACAGTTCAGAGGTTTACCCCGTTATTTTCATGGTGGGAAGCATGATGGTATACAAGCAGATATGGTGCTGGAGAGGTAGCTGAGAGTTCCACATCTGGATCTGCCGGCAGCAGGACGAGAACACCGAGCCACTAGACCTGGCTTGAGCTTCTGAGACTTCAAAGTCTGCTGCCAGTGATGCACTTCCTCCAATAACCCCAGACCTACTTCAACAAGGCCACACCTCCCAAAAATGCCAGTCCCTGTGGGCCTCTGGGGCCATCTTCATTCAAACTACCACAATACGGCATGACTACACCAAGAATACACATTCCCTCAGGACTTCACTGAATTCCTACAAGATCCTTGGAGCTGGAGTTACAGATGGTTGTGAGCTACCCCACGGGTGCTGGGCGTCAAACTCTGGTCCTCTGCAAGAACAAGTCCTCTTACCTGCTGAGCCACCTCCCCTGCCCCTCCACTTCTCACCACCTCCTCAGCTACCATCTCGCCCTAAGCCGCGCTCACATGAATTATGAATACAGCTTTTATAGACCACATCCCCACTTCCTTTACTTCTGGAGGCTATTTTCAACACGACACCCAGTGTGCTCCTACTTAAAAAAAAATTGATAAATATTTTACTTCTGCTCAAAGTAAAAGCTCTGGCTCTGCTCACTTAAAATAACTTGCATTTCTTCTATGATTAATATGAGGTTTTGGTTCTCTGTGTGGTAACTACTCCTTCTGTTTCACCTTCTGTTAGCTTTCCTTTTTCATTCACCACTGTATCGCTGTCCTTTTCCTAGTGCTTGGCACACAGACATTGGTCTGCGGCAAGTGATACCAGTTTTGTTTTATTCTATTATTTGTTTTATTGTATTTATTCTATTTCCAGTTTTTTGTTTTGTTTTTTCCAGAGCTCAGTTTAGTGTCTGGCCTTTCCAACGACTCAAAACATGCTAAGTAAATAAGTAAGGAATTATAATGGCATGTAAGTTTGGTACATTTGCTTATATTATACATATGATTTCATGGGTGTAGTTATTCATCACATAATGCTTTAGTCAATGATAGTATACTTGGCAGCAGTCACACGAGATTAAAAGGGAACTGAACAATCCTTATTGCCTAGTGACATGATAATCATCATAACAGGGTAGCCCAAGGTGATCTATGTTTGTAGTGCTATATAAACAAATTTACTGTGCTGCCTATATTAAAAAGAACAACATATACTAAATTATACACAGCACATAACACTATATAATGATAATACACAACTACATTACTGATTTATGAAATTCCTTTATTAGAGTGTTCTATTTTTAAAGTTTTACTGTAAAACTACAAGCCCAGTTGCAGAGGCAGCCTTAAACACCTCAGATTTGCTGTGTCTTTTGACCGCATCATTTTCTATTAGGCTTGATTTAATTTTGTTTTCCTGCCCCTGGATCAACATATGCATTCCAGATAGCACTGATGTATAAGATCGGGTATCACCTTGGTTGTGTAAAGTCATGTCTGACTGTACACCCGTTGAAACTGTTCATCTAAAATTTTAAGTTTTAAAATTTTTAAATTTTCATATTGAAACTTTAATTTTTAAAAATTAAATTTTCACTCTGAAGGTATTGTCGTATGGAACGTCCACTTTTTTATCTTCAAGGACTTAGCACATTTATGTAAGTGCGACAACTCTGCCTCATTTACCATGGAATGTTCATGTTTCTTAAACTAAATACAAAAACCCTAGATTAATAACGCGCGCCAGCAAAGAAGACAATGTATGTCAGCATCAAGAGGCTTCAGTGCTGCCGGGCGTTGGTGGCGCACGCCTTTAATCCCAGCACTCGGGAGGCAGAGCCAGGCGGATCTCTGTGAGTTCGAGGCCAGCCTGGGCTACCAAGTGAGCTCCAGGAAAGGCACAAAGCTACACAGAGAAACCCTGTCTCGAAAAACCAAAAAAAAAAAAAAAAAAAAAAGAGGCTTCAGTGTACTCCGTCGCTAATTATCTGTTAGAAAGCTGTACACAGGCTTAATTACAGACAAGTGTAAATTACTTGTCTTAATGACAAGGTGGCTGGGGTGGGGGTGGGGGCATCAGCTACGGGCTGACCGGTTCCGGGAACACAGAAAAACTACAAATCTCAGCATGCAGCGCACTTAAAGGCGCTAAGAAGGCCGAAGAGACTCGCGGTGCACTCTGGGGTTTGTAGTTCTGGACACAAGTACGTCGGCCACCTCCGGGATACTTACCAGATCCGGCTACTATCAAGAGTCCGAGCGACTTTCGGGGAGTGACGTGATGGGGCCGAAACACAGCCCATAGTCTCTGGACCAGCAAGATCGTCACCGCTCCCACTGCGGCAGTCAAAATCAGAATGCTCACCATGCAAAGGGCTGGCACACGCGTAGTATTTCCGGTGCGAGCGGTCAAAGGTTGCAAGTACGCCCGTAAAGTAGAAGCAGGGAGCGAAACGCCTCTCTTATGGGCGGGGCTTGTCGGCTCTGATGAGTTGGGCGGTCAAAGTTCAGAAGTGCAGCTCTGATTGGAAAACACAGAGCGACGTGTCGCTCGCGTTTGGTGGGCGGGGCTTGCCTGTGATGGGCGGAGCTGAGTGCAGGAGCCCGGAGCCAGGCTGGGTGGAATGGTTAAGACAGTCTTACCTGAGTTTGTGCTGCAGTTGTGCAGGCGAAGATGAAATTGGGAGGTTAATTGCTGGAGAAGGTTGATTTCCACCAGTGACCAGGTCAGGCTACGTGTACTCCACAAGGGCCACTAAGCCCCGGGTTAGTAGCTGCCCCCGCCCTGCCAGTTTTTGCCGAAGCTTCACGGCATACATCATTACTTCGTTCCTTTGTTGCTCCCTGCTTACAAGACGCTTGGGTTCCACAGACAAGACAGTACTGAAGATGTTTGCCAGTCGGAAGCATACCCTTAGGGGCGGGGGCGGGGGACATTCAAATCTGCCTTTTCCCAACGTTCATGTTTTAACTTTTCTAGACAATGTCACAGATCTCAAACCATGACCAGACTCGTGATCACTTAAAACTATGTCATATTCCTGAGAGGAATGGAAGTTCCTTGGCTTCAGATAGCAAGAGAAGGAAGACATAGTCCTACAGTTAATAGTTAATTTTACCCCAAAGCATTCCTGGCTTGTTCCACTGAAATGATGGGTTGCCAGTGCCTCCTCCAATCTCAGTTGTGGATGCGGTCATGTCTGCTTAGCCTAAGTTAAGGCAAAATAAAACCTCTTGACACCAAATGTTATTTTCCTTCAGACCCTCATAGGGCTGCAGGTTAGATAGGTCAGGCATGCAGGTGAGTAAGACAGGGTCTAAAAGGTCTTACTACTTGCCTAAGTGGGATAGTATCAGATCTAGAATTAGAAACGGGAAATCCTAACTCCTGCTGCCTAAGAATGCTATATCATATACTCCTTTGTTAAACTCAGTTTTATTGGTAATCACATTTACCTGGAACCTAGAATGCTTTTGGAAGTGATACGGGATCATAAGTTCCAGGATGGCTCATGAGATCGTCTTATAAAGCCAGGTGTGTTGGTTCCTGAATCAGCAGTCAGGCTTCCTGACTGTATCTTTATCTGATTGTAGACCTCACAGCACTTCGCCTATGGGCACTTTCATCAATCAATCCCTCTTGACCTCATTCTTTACAATCAGATATTATTCTTTTCATTAAAGATGGAGAAATAGATTACACAAAAGTTAATTTGCCTAAGGTTACTTATGTGATGAAAATCCATAGTTGTTGACTTAGAAGTCAGTGTCTGGCACATTTGGATGCAATGAGAATGCCATGCTGTAGCTTTAGACATACCTCATGGGAAGGCAGGGGCAGGGCCTCTGGTGGGTATGACAGACAGTACGACTCCGGTGCTGGGGAGGTGGATCAGTAAGTAAAGTGCCGGCTAGACGAGCATGAGGATGTAAGGAGTTTCACACCGCCCCCCCTGTCAGATAGAAAAGCCAGGCATGGTGGAGGATTCATGGGCTCCAGACAATCAGTGAACTCCAGGTTCAGTGGATGACCCTGTCTCAAAAACTATAAGGCAAAGAGACTGGAGTGATAGCTCAGTGGCTAGGAGCACTGGCTGCTCTGCCAGAGGCCCCGGGTTCAACTCCCAGCACCCAATTGGTGGCTCACAATCATCTCCCACTCCAGTTTTAGGGGATCTGATTCCCTCTTCCAAAATCTGCAGGCACACACATGGTGCCCAGAAATAATTCAGGCAAAACACACATACTCATAAAAATAAATCCTTAAGTATAAAAGTAAGGCAGAGAAGCAATTGAGGAAGACAGTGTTGACCTCTGGCCTCCTCCCATGCACGCAGGTGCAATCACAAATACATACACACGTGGACACACGCAGAAGAGAGTGGTTCAAGAACGTCACCAAGTGTCATGTTATTTTCTTCCACCACCTCTGCCATTCTCCAGAGTGGCTTCAACTGTGGTGATATTTTATTTGTGCACCCCAATAAAGCTTATCTGGAGATCAGAGGACAGAGCCAGCCATTATATTAAACATAGTGGTTAGGTGGTGGTAGCACATGCCTTTAATCCTAACATTCGGGAGGCAACAATCCATCCAGATCTCTGTGAGTTCAAAGTCACACACTGGGAAGAGAGCAGTGTGGCAGCACACACCTTTAATCCCAGCACTAACCATAGAGGTCTGGAAGTCTATACAGACAGACAGGAAGTGATAGAGCTGGGCAGAAAGAGAGGAAGTGATGTACCTGGGCGGAAAAAGGAAGTAAGATGGCAAAACACAGAAAGGTTTATAGGCGTGAGTATACAGGAAGTAGCTGTCTCTTTGGCTGAGGGTTTCCTAGCAGTAAGAATGTGGTTGGCTTCTTTCTGCTTTTCTGATCTCTCAATTTTCACCCCAGTATCTGGCTCCAGGTTTTTTTTTTTATTGATAAGACCATTTAAGATTCATCTTACATTCAACCTAAGACTTGAATCACAATTAAAAGAAGATATTAGTGGCCAGGCATGGTGGTGCATACCTTAAACCTCAGCACTCAGGAGGCAGAGGAGGGTGGATCTCTGAGTGGCCAGCTCCTTTCTACATGGTCATTTCCAGGGCACCCAGGGCTACAGAATGAGAAACCTTGTTTCAGACAAACAAGCAAACAAACAAAAAGGGGGATATTAGTTGTTGGGAAACATTATTTGAAGCTGTGTTACTTTTGTTTATGTTGTATTTGTTTACCTCTGTGAAACTGTAACACATTGTCTGTCTAAAAACACCTGATGTCTAATAAAGAACTAAATGGTCAAAGGCAAGGCAGGAGAAAGGATAGGCGGGGATGGCAGGCACAGAGAATAAATAGAAGGAGAAAGCTGAGAAGAAAGATCAAGGAACAAGAGAGGAAGGAGGGAGGACTTCAGGGGCCACCCAGCAACCCAGCTACACAGCCAGACATGGAGTAAGAAGGAAAGAAAATGTACACACGAATAGAGAAAGATAAAAGTCCCAAGGCCAAAGATAGATGGAATAATTTAAGAAAAGCTGGCTAGAAACAAGCCAAGCTAAGGCCAGACATTTATAATTAAGTATAAGCCTCTGTGTGTGATTTATTTGGGAGCTGGGTGGTGGGCCCCCCAAAAGGGTAAAGAAAACAACCAACAACAATGAGTGATCCAGAAACCACTCCACACAAGGCAATTTCCACAGTCTTAAGAAGTTGTTATGTTGTCACTGGGTCTCTGCTAAGAGAAACATATCTTTATGTTTCTCATGGGAGACTTTATTTCACTATTTTAAGCCATATTTAGATCACCTATACATAAAATGAAGTAGATCCCAAAAGCTGGTGGAGATAGGAATGGAGGGTGACATAAAATTCTGATATGGTTTATGGCCATTATATGTTGGTTACGGCTCGGAAGCTCAAGGAGAGGGGGTTGTTTTCATAGGCAGTTGTGGTGTTTGCTGTGAAGATGTGGGTTTGCAAACAGACACAGACGCTGCAGTGGTCAGGCATATACTAATTACATGGCTCCCGGCCCCAAGCTCCAGGTTAAGGAAGACTGAATATGGAAAGGATACTATTACACTTCCCATCCCCTGATCCTCTTGTCCCCTCGTTATTATAATTCCCATAACTGAAGGAAAAAAATTCAGTTTGACCACAACTTGGGGGGGGGTGAACAGTGAAGCATTTGGGGGCTACCAGTTATGCCAGTAATCAAAGGAAGCAGAGACAGTGTTTGATGTGTGAGATGGTTTCTGTTACTTGTCAACATGACAGGATCTAGAATGATCCAGGAGACAAGCCTCTGGGCTTGCCTATCCCAGTCGAGACCAGGAAGACCCACCTTAACTGTGCGCTGCATCATTCCATGGGCTGGGGTCCTGGACTGAATGCGGAGGAGGGAAGGATCGGGGTGCCAGCATTCATTGCCCTCTGCTCTGTGACTGAAGATACCTCACGTTCCTGCCACTATGGCTTCCCTGACGTGGCCTAAAGATCCCCTGGAATGGTGAGCCAGAGTAAGCCCTTTCTTGGGTTGTTTCTGTCAGCTGGCTTGTCTCAGCAACAAGACAAGCAACTGATACAGAGTCATTGATTGAGTTACTCTGAGCTTTCCAGAGGGACTGTTTTCCTGTCAAGGAAGTGAAAGCCTCAGGGATGAGCTAAGCAGGCAGAGGCAAGAACAAGTGGAAAACCCCTGAACAGAAATGTCCAGTGAATAAGCAGAGTACTGAGCTGTGATGGAATATGTGGACTATAATCAAGAGGTCAGTGAGCTAGAGTGTGATATTGGACGTTAAGGCTGTGCAGGAAGAAGTAGCAACAAAAGTTTCCTGAGGTGAGTCAGACTGGCCTGTTGATAACAGATTCATGATCCTTCGGGAAAACACGAATGGTTGACAAAAGGAATGATACGTGATTCACACCAATCATTCAGTTTGTCTGGGAAGTGATTACTTTTAAATCTGTTCACGGGAATGTCTTGAGATAGACTTGGAGTTCACACTCTTCACATCAGCACTTGGAAGGTAGGGAGGAAAAAGAGGGTAACGAATTAAAAGTCATTCTCAGCTACATAGTAAGTGGAAGGCCCATGTGGGCTACATGAGACTGTTCCTCAAAACTACGGAAAGAAATCATTTCCTAACGTTTCTATGGGAAATACCAATATTCAGACATATCTCTGAAGTGTGTACGAAGGTGGAGTTTTTGCAGCATTCTGTAGGATTGCATGTGTCATTTAGTCAGCATATTGATTGCGTGCCTGAGAGGGTTTGCAGACTTGTAGGTGCAGGGCATGGCATATAAGCAGGACAATGGCCCAGGCAAGAATCTTAGACTAGAGAAAATGACAGAGGATGTAGCTAAGTGTTGCGTGAATCTTAAAAGTTCTTATTGATAAAATCAAACCTGAGCCAGGTATTGGGGTGAACACTGGAAGATCAGAGAGACAGAACAAGCCACAGCTAACCTCACCTGGCCAACTT